GACTCGCCTCCCTCCTCCTCCCGTGCCGCATGTGGGGGGGGGGCGGTTTCTCGGCCTGATCCCTTCCTCTGGGGGTGGCTATTCCCCGTCTGTGCGCCCGATGCGCCTCGCTGACTCGCCCTCTGCTGCTGGCCTCTCTGTTCGTGGATGTGCGCATGCGTGCATGTGTGCGTGTTTGCACACATCCGCGCATGGGCGCACACCTATGCGCGCATCTTTGCACGCAATCACGCGTGCCCCTACGCCATCGCGCCCACGCCCCCGCCCCCCCCGCCCCCCGCCCCTCTGCACACAGTTCGGCCTCCTCCTCATTGAGACCACGTCCGGCGCCCTGTTCGGAGCCTTCATCACGGACCACCTGCACCCGGACACGCATCTATCCTCGCCGGGGTCCGTGCTGACCGGGTCGCACCCGGACAGCAAGCGCCTCCGGTCGCCGTCCATCGGCATCGGCGAGACCTTCCTCTTCTCGCTGTATCCCCGGCGCGCGGTGTACCCATGGCACCGGCTCGAGCGCCGCGAGTGGCTGGCCCAAGGGAACATCCGCATGAAGTCGGCGCCGCCACCTGTGCGGGCGCTGCCACCTGCCGGAGGGGACTCCTCCGGGCCGGACGCCGAGGACCTGTCCGACGGCGGACGCCCTGGCCAGCACCACCACCACCGCGGCCGCGGCCGCGGCCGCCAGTCGGAGGAGGCCGAGGCAGCCGGGTCCCACTCGCCGTCGGGCCCCGGGTCGTCGCCCTCCGACGAGGGCCCGGCCACCCCCTCGTCGGACGCCGAGCCGATCTTCATCTGTGCCACGCCGGACAGCCTGAGCCTGGGCATCGGCCCGCCGCGCATCCTCCCCCAGTGGGACGTCAGCCATCCGGACGCCGCGGCCGGGGTGATTGTGCGCCAGGCCGCCGGGGCCGGGGCCGGGGCGTCCTCCTCCCCCCAGGCGGCCGAGATGCCCGTGGCCTCCGTGCGGCAGGTGTGCTCGGCCCTGTGGCTGGAGCGCAAGCTGGAGTTCGGCATCAGCGAGCCCAGCGACCTCTACTGGAATGCGCCGCTCCACTGGCCGGAGTTCTTCCCCGACCCGGCGGCCGGGCTGGTGGACGTGGTCCTGGAGCCGGACGAGGTCCCGGCGCCGGTCGGGTCGCCGGGCGCCGGAGGGGCGGCCGCCCCCCCCTCGACCTTGGCTTCCTCCGGGCCGTCGGCCTCGTCATCGGCCGGTGCCGGTGGCGGGTCGCCGCTCCTGGTGGCGTCGCTCCCGGTACCGCCGATGTCCTACAAGTTCGCCATCCGCTCGGTGGAGTACTACGCCCTCATCTAGGGTGGCGAGCGAGCGAGCGAGACAGGGGGAGACACGGCTATGCCATTTCTCTCCCTCCCTCTCTCTCTCTCAAGTCCCGCGGCCCTCCTCTCTCTGCTTTTTTTCCCCGCCCTGCTTTCCCCCTCTCTTGCACGCACAAGCGGCACACCCGGGGCGGGGAATGCCCCCCTTCCCCCTGTGGACCTCCGCGCTTCCTCCCGCACCGGGAGCGCTTTTCGTGTCAATTCATTTTTTTGTTTCCCCCTCTCTTCCCCCCACCGCCCGCCATCCGCGTGCGTGTGCATGTGTCTCTCTGGGTCGGGGCGGGGCCAGCACACGATGCGTGGTTCCTGTGGGTGTATATTCGGCAGGACAGGGCGCGAGGGGGGTCGCGGGCAGAGGGTGGGGGGCGGGGGGGATGGGCCGCGGGCCTGCGCCGGCACGCCTGGTCGGGCTGCCACAGTGCACACACGGACACAGACCCCCCCCCCCCCCCCCCC